TAGATGACCAAGTGCACGACGGGGACGGATGGGAAGTCGAGGGGATGGAGATTGAAGACTCCGAGACGGCAGCCAAGTCAAAGGAGCTGCTAACCGAAGCTGTACAGTATGGACAACAGCTGTTCATCGACTATCCACCCGATGAACGGGGCGGGGACCGGAAGATGTTGGAAGACATCTTCTCCTTAGTGGCCTATCAGGACGCGCGCCAGTCGGTGCATGGGCACTATCTAGACCCGGCCAACCGCATAGCCGTGGCAGAAGAGTTGAACTCGGCCATTTTAGGTAGGCAAACCGGGGATCATGGATGGGTGGCTGCATTGGGTTACGCGGTGGCTAATAATTCGAAACAGTGTCCCTCGGCAAGTCATCGTCGGCGGCGCTGGAGCGCCTGTACCAACAGACGGAGGTGCTGGTGAATGAGATTAGCGAGGAAGGCGGCGCTGGGGCGTTCATTAATGTTCGCCATGACTTCTTGCTTTAATGGAGGATGGGACGAAAGGTGTATGAGGACATGTCTGAATCTGCTGTGATTATTCTATCTAACATACGAAAGACTGGTATCTTTGATGAAAGATTTCCCAGAGCGCCGAAGTCATGGGGGCTTTTTTTTTTTCTTTTCTCTTTTTTTCTCGTTTTTGTCCCAGCTTCACAGGCCAAGATCCAGCAGCGCTTTTATGCAGCAGCAGTCAAGGGGGGGGGGTGGTAGGTTGGGCGACAAGGTACAGGTACTAGGTACATACTACTACCTACCTCATAGTACAGTACCTCGCTCATTCGGGGCAGGAATTTAGTCTCGGCTCTAGTGGGGCCGTCCGTCAATGGGTTCATGGTTAGTACGCGGTGTTTGGCTACTCCGTTAGTAGCACCATAATATACATACATACAGTCCATGGTTTGTGGTTTATAAGTCCTTGAAAGATGCTTACTGCATTGCGTGCTGCGAGCAGGTTATGCTGCCTTCCATGAGCTCACTTGAGAAGTCTTCAATGGATTAATAGTAAATAAGTTACTAAGGTAATTACATAGTACCTTACTACTTCCTACTAGGTACCAGGTACTGTACTACTCATGTAGGTATCGTTACCGCCTCCCTCAGACCCGGTTGATTTTCACCGCCCAACTGCCCCTCTCAGAGCCAATCATCAATCGGCGCCGCGGGTCTCCGTCTCGAACGGCTTTCAGCTCCGTTTCTCCATCCCGAGTCCACCGACCATCCACCCATAATCATAATGATTGCATCCATGATTGGTATCATTCCCCTTCATTTCTCTTGGTCCTTGCCACATTCCTTCTTTCTCCCTCTGAGCCACCGACTCATGCTTCAATCGATCAATTGACAACTTCTAGCTTGATCTTTGTCGTCGAAATTTTGGGGAGATTTAAGCAAGAAGCAGAGAATCTACCATGGTCTGGTGGAGTCTGTGAGACGGAAACAGAGACAGACAGACAGACAGACAGACAGACCGACCGACCGACAGACCCTCTCGCGCGATCTGTATCCATCTCGATCTATTCTTGTTTCATCTATCTACGACCGAGCTTGGACAATTGTCGAGGCTCGGGGGCCTCCGGGCCACTTCATCACGTCGTTCCAGGGGTGCCAGCTCAACTGTTAACCCCTCCCTCCCTTTCTCCATTCTTTAGCCGCCGCCGATACTGCTACGGCTGCGTCTGCTGCTACTGCTGCTACTGCTCCCGCTCCTCCTCCTCCTTCTCCAGCCATGGATTCGTCCACTACTGGTCAGCTTCCCAGCATTCCCGCCCACCCAGCCTCTGCCCACGTCTCGACCACGGATCTTCAATGCTGCTGTGGCCGGAATGATTGTGCATTCTTGCTCCATAATCATCTGGCTCTTGAGGGGCTGGAAAAGGATCTTGCAACTGCTGCTAAACTAGGCCAGGTACGTGTCTGCTGGCAGCGTGCTCCGATTTTCCCTACTTTTCCCGTTTAGTGCATTCTGCCTTCGAGTTGCCTGTTTGTTTATCTGCAGATTTGTTTTTTCCCCCGGCCTCTTGTTGGTTCGGCCTTTCGGCCAATACGTCAGGCGGCATCATTGTTGGCAGCGGAGGTCTGTTCCTTCGGCCACTAAATTTCCCACGGTCACTATCGATGCACCTTGCCCTGCCTGATTCTTGGCCTGGAGACGATGAAGTCGTACAGAACTTAGCCAGACATGAGGCTGTCTGACTGGTGGCCTGTCAAATGGCTTTGCCCACTCACTTGCTTGCTTTCGATGGTCGGCCTATATACTTCTCATCCCTCTCACATACTTTCTCTGTACACTCACATGCCTGATTACTCACCTCATGTCCTTGACCCCCTTCACTGACGGAGGGGCGTTATTTCCATCGTTTGCTTATATTGCTTGTCCTTTTATTGGAATTTGACTATCTCGGATTGAATAACTGTTCTCTTTTGGGCGATCGAGTGCCAAGAGGTCTGAAGATTCACGAGACAAGACTGGACGACTGAGGCAGGCCTACCACCTGGCCTGTCACAACATTCCCCAACTCTCTCATGGCGTCTTCCAGTCTCAAGTCTCCCATTCTCTCTCAATGCTTTTTTGTTCGTCATGGCTGTCGCCTCAGACAAGGCCGCATTGGCGGCCACGAGTATGGGCTCCTCATCGCTAACCTTTGCTCTGCAGGCTTTACTGCACCGTCATGAATCTTACATGGCGGAGGCGGAACAGGACCGCCAGCGTCTCCTGCTCAGCATTGAAACTCTCGAACGGGAGAAGCGCGAGGTTCAAGCCGAGAACGCCCGCATCATTGAGGAGAATCGCGACTTGCTGGAGCAATTAGAGGGTCTCAACAAGGCCGTCGCCGATTCTGACCTACACGCCAAATCATTGACATCGCGACTGGAAAACACCGAGACTGAGCTGCGCAAATTGACCATGTCGGCAGCTCGCGCGGCGGATCTCGAGGCCCAGCTCGCACACATGGAGTTGGAGCAGAGTCGACTACAAGAGAGTCTCCAGTCGGCGAAGGAGGAATCCAAGTCGGCCGTCCAACGCTGGAAGCAGGCGGAATGCACTCTCCGTGATCTGCATGATCAAGTTGACCGCATTGAAAAGGAGGCCCGGGAAGAACGAGAGCGCCATGCGGAATTGATCCAACGGATGGAGCGCCGACGAACCGTGGAGCGCGAACTCGATGGCGCGGCTGGTCGATTGAAAGGTGCGGCTGCTGCGCAGGAGCTGGGACGCAATCGCGCGGGCGCCAACGTGGTTTCCCACTTCGTACGCGACATCTTACAGGATAATGCCAACCTACAGATAGGAATCATGGAGCTGCGGGACATGCTCGAAAGCTCGAACCAGGAGGTGCAAAACCTGCGGGATCAGATTTTGTCTCATCAGCCCCTAGCTGCGTCCGACGGGCAGGAATCTCGGCCGTCAACAACTTTGAGCCAGGAACTGGAAGCGCAAGAGTCACGTCGCGTGTCGCAGGAATACCATATTCACCACCATTATCATCCACCCGCTATCCCTGTTGGCGCCAAAAAGGATCGGGGTTCGCTGTTTCGTCGGGGCAGTAAGAAAAGACGATCTTTGGGGAATGCGGCGGTGCTTAATTCGGCCTCGGGAACACGCAAGCCCAATCACCGCTCGCAGTCATCTACCTCCTCCACATCAACTATATTGTCCCAGACATCAGTTTCTATCCCTCCAGCGGCGTCTCATCGGTGGTCATTGCAAACTCCAATGACGGACTCGGTGGCCAGCTCGCCACAGTCCGCTTACCAACCGCCCTCGATCTTCGACCGCGCGGAACGCGGCTGCGACTTCTCCCAGCCAACTAGCCCAGACAGTACCGTCTTTTCCTCTCCATTGACAAGCCGTCGCAGAAAGGGTCACTCCGATGCATCTTTGCGACGGGATGAGACTGATCATCCGACCCATCCCAATGATGATGAGCTGAGATACGACTATCTCACCCAACGTAATCTAGGTGCTGAATCGCCACACAGAGGGGTCGTGGAAGCCGTGATTCCGGAAGAGATAGAGTCGATGCAGTATGCCGAGTCGGAGCGAGCGGCGTCTCCTTTGATAGCAGACATATTTTCTTCTCCCTACCGCTCTGTGCGTCGAGGCTCGTCCCACGAGAGTCTATTCTCCGTGGCGGGGATGGACATTCATGCTCCGAGTCGACGTCCGTCGCGGACGAATGTGAACGACCTTCCTTCGACCACCATGCCTGTCCGCATCCCGCGACGCATTATTTCGTCGAATATGGATCTATTCCCCACAACCCCGGTCATTTCGACGAGCAATGTGACGGTGGGACGAGAGCCAGCCCTAGTGCCAAACCAGCGTCCACAGGCCCTTCTCGCATCAATGACCGGGAACAGACAGCTGCCAACCGAACAAGTCGTCCCTGAAGAGGAATACTCGGATAGTAGCGCTGCTACGCCTTCTCGGAAGCTGTCTTTGCCCCGCCGGGTTGGTGGTTGGGTCCGCGGTCGCTGGGGCACCGCCGCCGTCTCGGGGCATGAAACCATGCAACCGTCCCCAATTGAGGAGGACACTTCTTCCCCAGCGAGGCCCTCCTCCAGTGGAAATAGTACCAGAAGCTCGATGAAGGCTCGAGCAAGCCTAGCTCCGAGCCTGCCCTTCCGGTACCCGGGAGTCAACCAAAAAGGACCGATCATGGGATTTCGCCCCATGTCTCGTGCACCTGTATCCCTACATGCCGACAACTTGGACGAGGGACTTCTCAGGGAGAGCCTTGCTGAGTGACCCTGCTCGGTAATTAATGCCCCGCCAAAGCAACGAACATAGCCTCGTACATAACTCATCTTCGCTCCTTAGATTCGTTCTATTTGAGCATGACTCAGTTGCCTTTGAGCAGCAGCACGTTTTCTGGCTGATCATTTTTTTTTCTGTGGGCCGTTCAATCTTTCTCGAAACGGTATTCGGCCTGTTATCCATCGCTCCAGCGTGTTTCTTTATCCGATTTGATAGACATGATACCCAGGATGTTAGACTTATTACATACAGAACAGCACTGGCTTTTTATAGAAACAGCTATTATTCGCAGATCACACTCTCAAGTCAAGATTTTGTCTTTGAAGACAGATTTACTATCAACAATGTGAGACCATGATTGATTTACCTTAAGTAGAGGAAGAGGTCGAACGTCGAAGTAAGCGGGTAGATCGGTAAGCGAGCTGGTAGTGATATATTTGATTCCTGTGGACTCGACGTCAAACCCTCTTCTCGTTCACCGAGAAGGAATTCAAGTTAAATTGTCGGTCTTGTGATTCGATATATATGGATTGGAATAGCCGTGGAATGATAGAAGCCCTTCTGCTCTGCCTCGGGAGGTGATGTGAAGGGGATCTGCTCGACCGTGAAATTTTGGGCTTCTGCAAGAGGATCAGTCGTTGAAACTGGGCAGGGCGCATCAAGTGAGTGCACTACGGAAAGCGGGGGGAGACAAAGGAAGTTCTACGCACCACAAGCTCTCAAAAATGTCCGGAAAGTATCCTCGTTTCGTAAAGTGGCGGAGATGATGAATTGCTGCAGACCATAGTTGGTGAAGAGGTCCTGGATGGTCGCGACAAGGAGGGGAACAAGGTCAACATCGTAGATCTAGGTAAGAGGTTTCCGGGAGTCAGTTGCGTTCCAGGTGGCTAGCGATGGTGGATTCTCTGGAAGAAACGTCCCAAGAAAAGGACATACCAAATCCGCCCCTAACGCGACATCAAACTTAAGACCCTTCGCTTCACCCAATGCGCCATCTCCCACTCCTCCCGAGGAACCACCACGACCATTACCCAGCCCGGGAATATCCAATGGAGTCCCCCACTCCCAGATCCCCGCCGCGAACCGTTTAGCCGGGGTGTTGTTGTTGTTGTTGTTGTTGTTGTTGTTGTTGTTGTTGTTGTTGTTGTTGTTGTTGTTGTTGTTGTCGTCGCCGTCCCCTTCGCTTATCAGCTTATTCCGCCCCGCACAATCCTGGATCTGCTCGATCAAAGCGATCTCGCGATCGGTCACAACCACGGACTGGGGCTGGAGGTGTTGCGCGCAGAACATCCCCAGAAACCCCGTGCCCGCGCCCAGCTCGATCACCCGTTTCCCGGCGATCCAGGTGTGGGCGGCGCTGGGGTTCGTCGCGAGGTAGGTCCCAAGGTGGAGGGCGGCTTCCCACGTGCGGAAGCCGGTGGTGCCCGCGGAGAGGATCAGGCCGCGGGATTCAGAGGTGATGGTGGTTCGCTGTTGCGCGGGTTGTTGTTTCGGTGGTTGGGGACTGGTGGTTGGATGCGGGGGCGGCGGCGGCGGGGCGGTGTATTTGATGTAGGTGAGTTGTTGGGCTTGTTCGATGGCGGAGGGTTTGGGGTGCGTGAGTAAGGCGCCCCATGTTTCGAGGAGGTCGTCGATGATTTCCTGAAGAGAGGGGAAAGGAGAATTGGTGGGTTAGTTTATTTGACCCGAGTTTGGTGGGAGGGGGGGACGGGGGTGGAACGAGCGGGGAAGGAATGAATTGTTCGGCGATGGTTTGGACTGAACAGATCATATCATACAGATAAAGGGTTCATACTTCCTCCTCCGGATTGGTAAGTGATTGTTCAAGGCGGGCGATGATCAATTTGAGCACGCGCATGCGGTATTGCGCGGGGGGCAGCGGCCATAGGGCGGGGTCGGAATCGTTGAACATGCGGTTGTAGAGGGCATGTTGGGTGGTGGGGGTGAGGAGAATGGCGTTGTCGGGAAGCGAGAGGGAGGGAAGTTCGACTTGTTGGTAGTATTGGGATACGAGACGGTCGAGGGGGGAGGGGGAGGGGGAGGACATGGTGAGAATGAGGTTTAAGTGGGAGGATGGAGACTTGCTCTAGTAGATTGATTGTAAAGTCTCCAAGTACAGTGTTGATAAGGAACGGATGCTGAGTCAGCGTCTCCTTATCAGGCACACGGTGGCGCTAGACCCGATGAGGAATACTTCAGCAGGCCAGTGGAACTAACCGGACTAAGACTAGGGTCGTCTAGCCGAGCCCACAGCCAACTTGTGCACAACGAGACCAAAATTGAATCGAACGCCGCATTTCGAAGCCCCGACCCGACTTGACAGCGACTTCGACAAACCCGCGCCCTCCTTAATCTGCCCCCCTTTTGCTTCCTGTCGCACGCAGATTCCTTCGCTGTCAACTTCCAACCATGGCCGACGCTCCCGTTACCCTGCGGACTCGCAAGTTCATCCGCAACCCCCTGCTTGCTCGCAAGCAGATGGTCGTGTAAGAAGCCTTCCCCGAATGCTATTGCCCGGAGGGATGCTCGGAGGGAGGATACAATACCAAGAAAAAGAGATGGGGAAAGAGATGGGCGAAACATACGACATGACGATTCCAAGGTCGACCGGATGGAAAACACAAGGGAATGTTACGACAATGTGATGGGGAAGATTTTTGGAAACCCCAAAAATCATGTCCCGGGGGCAATATCACATTCAGTGTGTATATATGCGTGAAGGGCAAAGACAGACGAGAAAACCTTCGACTGGGAATTCATCCGAGAGCACCTCCGGGCAATACGACAAAGAATTTTTGCATGACAACGGCAGACGCTGATATTCTGCACACAGGGATGTCCTCCACCCCAACCGCGCCAACGTCTCCAAGGACGAGCTCCGCGACAAGCTCGCCGACCTGTACAAGGCCAACAAGGACCAGGTCTCCGTCTTCGGTTTCCGTACCCAGTACGGTGGCGGTAAGAGCACTGGTTTCGCTCTCGTCTACGACTCCCAGGAGGCCCTGAAGAAGTTCGAGCCCCACTACCGTCTGGTTCGCATCGGTGCTGCCACCAAGATCGAGAAGCCCAGCAGACAGCAGCGTACGTCTTTCCCTGTGTCTCTTGATTCGCCTGGTGTCTCTTTTCGTTTGTACTCACACCCCCTCCAGGCAAGCAACGGAAGAACCGCTCCAAGAAGTTCCGCGGTACCGAGAAGGTCAAGGGCCCCAAGAAGAACAAGAACTAAGCGGCTCGATTCGGTTGAGAGTTCTCTGCGTTTACGTTTACTGGTGAAAATATGGAAGGGGGAAACAAATAGAGTGGCTCGCTGGCCTCGCGTCTTCGCCTCTCGGGACTCGGAGTTGGATGGATTTATCGGTTCCAGGCGGACGGCGCGGCGGCCACGGGTTGAGCTTGATGACTGGGAGGATCTGGGGTATTTCACTCTTTGCGGGAATATTCCCACGGTCTTCTTTGAGCCAACAAACCCTTGGTGGATATGAAGGAACTGGTTGTGTGTGGAGGGCGTTTTACAATTTTTCTTATTTCTCATGGGCGGCCACCGCCAATTCTTCATATCTACAAATATGAAACCATGAATTCGATGACAGGGAACTTCAAAAATCAAATCAGACTTGGAGACCGTTTGGGCTTATTCTGTATGCCGGGGAGGGGAGGAAAAATCAAAACATGGGTGGGATTTCTTTTCCAACACCCAAAAAAGGAGATAAAATGGATACTTTTTTTTATTTTTTCTTTTACTTAGCTCGTGCATCATCACCCCAGATATCCTTTTTTGCTGCCTCTTTTATGACATTCCTCCCGAGATTCTTATCAGTTCATGCCTTCCATGTCCCCTAAACTACCTTAACTACCCCATAAAGTTCTTATCGCATCCTTATCGACCGGTTGATTTGATTTGATCCAGCCCGCAGACCCCTATAGGCATCATGGCCCATGACTTTTCTCTTCCCTTCCTTGACTTTTCTTCACTTTCCAGCCAACCCGGCGTCTTTTTCGTTCCAACCCTGGGCGATTTAACCAAAGTAGTGACCTTCCTTCCCACGGAGAGCCTTATTTCCCAGAACTCTTTTCCTTCCTCCCCGTCTCTGCCCGCTGGTGAACTAGTACGTACTGCACATAGCTTTCTTTCCTCTCGACCAGAAGTAGTGCAGTACAGTATCACTCCGGCTCCCCGGGCTCCGGGTCCCCGGATAGAGATTCCTCTTTTCCGGGTAGCTCCAATCATCCATTCACCTTTCTCCAAGTTATGTTACATTCATTCCAGGAGGGGAGTTGGGAAGGGCCAAGAAACCAATAGAAACGGACAAAAGAGAGACAGACAGACAGACAGACAGACAGACAGACCCTGGACGAGGGTATGAGAGGTCCGAGCTGGAGCGAGGTTACATGATCGTGTTTTTTTTTTTTTTTTCCAGCCTACTTACTTTACTTGCTTACTTCCGTTAAGTCCTTCTAGCCCCATGTCTGAGATCCTCCGGGTGCACAAGGTGAGGGAAAGAGAAGTCGCACCGTTGGGAAAGTTAAAGCACGGGCCTTGGGTGACTTGCTTTGCTTGCGGGATGAGATCCGAGAGGTCGGGGTTAGATCACTTGGAGATGATGGGAAGGATTTATTCTCCAATGGGTGGTGGCTTCTTTTCTTATTTCTTTTCTCTTTGTTTTTTTTTTTTCGGGTTGGGTTGGAGGAGAAGAAGGGAGAAGGAAGAAGGGGAGCGGATGGCTATGGTTATGGTCATGGATTTTCCCTTCTGTAGGTATATACAATGTCATATTAAGTAAGGCTGTCGGGGGTCACCAACAGTATGTTAGTACCAGCAGTGTAACCCCCAGTCAGGCTGCTAACTATCAAATAAACTGCCACTCACTCACTCACCCACTCACTCACTCACACAAACTCTCTCTGGGTAGCATGGACAAGTCCTCGGAAATATCAGCAGCAACAAGAACAACAAAAACGCATTACAATAACCAAGTCCCAACTGAGCGGGATCAACATCTACAGGAGACAAGATAGCAGCCACCCTGAAACCATGAGAGAAAAAAAAAACAAAGCAAAGCAAAGACAATCAGCCAAAAGATAGAACGGATGAGCCTCCCCAGTCGTGCCAATCACTGGCAAATAAGAATCAAAAATCAAAAATCAAAAAAAAAAAAAAAAAAAAAAAAACACAAAACAACAACACCGAGCAAGTCCTGGGAATCACAAATCCAACACAATCCCTAGTAT